AAGAGCTTTTCTTGAAGGTAAATTTTTTGGTATTTGTGGTGTTTTTTTTTTTTTTAATCTCTTTCCAAGACCTAGCAGAGAACCATCAGGTGTTCACTGGCCACATGAAAAAATAAGGCTTTCCCATATTCTAGGAAATGTAAAACTGAAAAGATGAAAGATCCTTTTAGAAAAGGTTGGTTTTAGCCTACGATGAATAATCTAATTATACATTTATTTCAATGAAAAAAGATACAGTAGAAATTAAAATTATGTTGTAGTGAAATAGTCTATTATTTTAAATACAGAGGAAATTAAACAGTGCAATTCATTTAAATCTATTATGCAGAATAATTAGCAGAACATTTAAAAATTATGGATGGATTTAGGGACCCTATTAACATTTTAAATACAGAATTTGACAAAAACATGGAAGAATCCAGCATTTTATTATTTTTAAAATTTAAAAGGATAAAGATGATTTATATGTGAATACTAGCATAGCTCAGTATCATCATCTGCCACTGACTAATGCTTATAATAAAACATATTTTAAGACTATATTTTATTAGCACAGATCATGGAGACCTGCAGAAATGAAAATTTAATGGAAACTAATATATAAGAGAAATATTTCAGATTCACGATCTGTTGTTCCTCCTCAAAGTATCATAATAGCATCAAGATGAACTCAAATCTGAAAACATAACATAAAGAAAAAGACTTAGTTTTACTATAAGTTATGTAGATTTCAAGTATGTCTAGATGCTACATTGTAAATGTATTTATATAGGTATTATTCTACATTTAGATGATTTTTAAAAAATGATTTTAATCAATAAAACACGTATGAACTAAACATCTTAACATAACCTTAAAATTTTTTAAAAGAAAAAAATCTTCAGAGGTACTCCATATTGTACAAATATAAATTTTTATATTGTAGCATTTATATTTTTACATTAAATTATGAAAACCACAATTAATAAATACTAGAAACCTTGAACTTCAAGTCCTCAGGATATCTGAAAGTAAATATTATGATTACATCTCTTGCATATGGACTTTCATAAAGCTTACCTTTATGAAGAATCTATAGTGAGGTTGGGGAGAGATTAGGTTTTAATTGAAAATTTTTAATTGTTTACCTTAGGTAAATAGGAACTATCATAAATACAGAATTACGTGAAATTTTAGATAAATTATAAGGCTTCACAGAGTTATTATGCTTCTTGGGTCTCTTTGGGCTCCATTTCCCGAGTCTTAGAGATAAGTGCCTACCCTCCTTTGCCATTACCAATAATTATGTGAAGAAATTTAAGAAAGATTAGCAGTAGCTTAAGCTGAATTATATATTGCAAATCCATCTAAGGCTATTTATCAATTATTCATGGAAATAAAGAAGCAGGTGTACAATTCCTCTATTTACACTCCTTGCCCAGCTTCCATTTTGACCCATAGAGAGTCTTACTACATTTATACACCCTCAGGTACCTTGTCCAAGAGTAAAAACATAATAGCACCCACAAGGGCATTTATTCTCTGACAATCGCCTGCTTAGAAATTGGTATTTAATTATCATCACCAGAGTAGTGTGTTATTAATACGGTACTTTATAACTACTTTCTAATATTTCAAACTAAACTTTTATGTTTATTGTTTCTACATTTTTCCCTTATTGCACTACAAAATCATTGGTGCTGGTATTGCTGATAATATCAATTCGAAATTTGATTTTATGACAATAATATTTTCAACTAAATCAGTATTTCATATTGTTCATAATATCCAAAAACAATGAATAAATTCAACTATTTAAAAAAACACATATGTAATTTATGTACATATTTGGAAGGATGAGTTGAATTATGGAATTAAACACACAATAGGCTGTATAATTTCTAAAATTTGATTTTTTATATATATACATAGGTGTATATATACATGCATATATAATGTTATATGAAGCCTATTTATACTGTGTTTTAAAATATTGAATTACATTTTATTTTATACTTTATTATAAATAAGAAAATATTATTAGAAATACTAAATCATATTTTACTTTTCCATAGCAAATCTTTAGGATCAATTAAATTATTTGGTAATGTAAATAAATATTCTCCTGAAAATACATATAAGCATAAAACAATATGTCTAAATTAATTTTAATTATTAACATATACATTCCAGTATATTAAAAAGTGATGACATCAGAAATTATAGTATTCTCTCATAGAAGGTTTCTATATAAAGGTAGAAGTTACTTTTATAAAACAAATGGCAAATCCTTGTGATGTGGTTCTTCTAAATAAGTCAGTTGTAGACCTCTACTGAACTATTACATCTGTACTGTATATTTGAGTATATAGTCCCATGGCCATCTGTAGAAGGAACTCAAAACCATGCCTATAATTTTAAAGCTAAGAGAAATGAAAATAAAAAATAAAAAAGACATATGATGGAAAAAGCTGAGTTTGAATACAAATCTGCATTCTAATTTTACCCTGTGCTACTTATTTAGTAGGGTTTTCTGAGGAAACCACATAAGCCCTCTGAGCCTTACCGTGTTTTTGTAAAAAATAGGGCTATAAAAACCTACCTTAGAAGTTATTATCTGGACTCAAAGAGGTCACTGGAGTTAAAGCTCAAGATAGAACTGAGATCATAGTTGTAGAAACTCAGTAAATTATTTATTTTGTTATAATAATCATGAAACACTTAAAATTTTTGAATAGCTTTTTATTTATGATTGTGTTTTCACCATTTGAAGACACAACAATTATTTTGGTCTAAGTGTCTCAATTGTAAACAATTTGCTAACCTTTTATTTTTATCTTTTTATGATGATTTAAAATTACTTCAAGTTGAAACAAAAATAACAACAAAAGTTAATAGATGACATATATATAAAAATTTATTTTATATTGTGCCTTAAATGATCTCAGTGTTTTTTGGAAATTGTGCCTTGCATAAGCTATGCTGACTTTAAATAGAAAGGTCAAAATTTAATAATTTGTAAGAGGAAATTAATTTTAGAAGACTCCAAGTACAGTTTAATAATTATAACTAATACAATTTTGTAAGATAATTTTTATTTGCCCTTTGCTCTTTTTAAAAATTTGTTTTTGTTTTTATCTACAAATATTTATTATATTCTTTAGGACACTCTCTCAAGTATGTTTAGTCTAGGTTCACTTTAGGGATGAGCAAATGGATACCAACAGCATAGGTGGTTATGAGAAAAATCAGGCTTTTTTCACTATATACATATATATATATATAATTTTGGTAGGTTTAAATAGCAGGATATATAATTGATCAATTTAAGTGGCTAAAATGTCTAAAATAGATGCATTAAAAGCCCTTATTAAAACTGCTGTACAATGATAAAGGGATCTTAGTTTTTAAAATTATTTATTTCATGTTTTCTTTGATTTAATATTTGGAAATACTCTGGATCTGAACAAAATTTACTGAAATTTTGTTTTACCATAGCAAAAACAAGTAATTATTGAGCAGCAGGCTCTAATGAGATTAGAATGAAAAACAAAAACAAAAACAAAAAATGAAGGACATTGTGGAATGGTGTTCATGAGAAAAACTGTAGCAAATGTGTTTTGCATTACTAATGGTACAGATATTTGTTTTTACACGCTTTGGTTTTAAATTGTCCTTGTGAAAATTGATGATGCTAGCTTCAGATATAAAAGCTGGTGGAAAGAGTACACTTTAAATTTTACTCACTGATGTTAGAAGTTATTGGATGCTATTAGAAGCTCTTTTAGAAAGATTTATGATAATAAGTATTCATCGCAAAGCACATCATTCCCGAGAACAAAAAGTGATGTTGCATTCATTTTGTATGATTAACGATTCACATGTAATGAGGAAAAATGCTAAGGACTAATCTACAATTGTAAATGGAAAGGAACTTTATAAAGAGATTTTTCTTGTTAATGTTAACAAAAGAAAGAAATCTTGCATATGCAAGATATTTGCAAGTATTTACATCAGCTAACAACAAACATTATATCAAGTAATAAGACAATCTGTTAATTTGTATCATAATTAAAAATTCACATTCTGTAATATCACAGAACTCTAAACATGTTTAATAAAACTTAGATGGTATATTTATTTTGTTACTCCAGATATGATATTAATGAACTGGCTGATTCAAGTCTAATTTGCATAGTAAGTGAAAATAATTAAAATTGGTCTTTCATTAAAAGCTCACAAGAAATGTTTAATTTGTATCGTATTTGCAGGAAGGCGAGCAGCAGAGATTTTTTTCAATTCTAGAACATGCCACAAGATCAGTTGTACAAGGAAACAAATTAGGTGTATTGTTTGGTTATTTCCTTGCCATTGGGCTTTGGAAGTATAATCACATATTTCAAGGGAGTGTGATCTAAACTTCCTTGGAGTTAAACTGATAAACACAAAATGAGAAAAGTTTGCTTTTATTGCTGGTGCAGGTATTTTTTCTTTTTTACCTGTGTGAATGAATTGCTTATTTGAATTGCATCCCTCAGTGTGGGGAAGTTCACAACCAAATACATGTCACTGCTAAAATATTAGATTCTCATTAAGAAAATAAACCTAATTCACTTTGAAGTTTTTTTAACTTTGCAAAAATTATAGAAAATATACATTAAAAAATAAGATTGTTAAAATCTCATTTGAAATATTGATGGGACAAATTCATTAGAAAAGACACACACACACAAAAACACCCTATACTTTTTCACTAATAAAATCATTTTATTTTTTAACTTCTTTCTTATCAGCTCCATTTGCTTTTTCTTTCTCTGAATATAGCCGAATCACTTTCCATACGCTGTTTATCTGTGGTGTGTTAAAACCAAGTCATTGATCACCTATTCTCTGATTAATTTTTAAAGCTCTCTTCCTTTGGATCTGACAATAAAATTTATATACTTGCATTATCCAATGTCCTATTCTGAATACAAGTTTTCTTTCCTGCTTCCCCACCCCCTACACACACCTTTTCTTACCTTTCGTGGCTCTATTCTCAAATGGTTTACCTCCTTTCCTTTGAAACACATTTTTCCTCTTGCTTATATCGACTTTTGGTATACTTATGATTGTATAGATTAAATACCTTGGAGAACTCAATAAAGTTCTTTCATTGATTGTCTGACTCCAAACCTTGCTCCTATTACATTCTGATCCTTGAATTCTCTTGATCCACTCTCTGCCAATGACCTATTACATGTATTCAATTTCTGTTTCTCTGCATCCTGAAGTATCAAGTTCACTGAAACAGACATCTCTCTCCTGATGTGGTTAAGAAGTGTTGAAGCAGGGTGACTTCTAGTTTAGGACTAAAACAAAAACAAGTGCGATGAATCACACCGCAGTTAACTCTTTATATTATCAAGCAAGGGGATGAGGTTTCTTCTTTTATTTTATCATGTGGGGTATTCATTCCAATCTCCTGACACAACTTCACAGAAACTGTGTAGTCTAATGCTTAAGATGGTAAGCTATAAAGCCACAGAGTTAAAATTCCAGTTCTCTTACCTAAGATCTGTGTGAACTCAAGTTATGCTCTTCAGAAATAGAGACCATTGAAATATTTCAGGTTCCTTGCTCTGCAGGGACCAACTCTATAAAAATTATGGCATGAAAAAGAGAATGTTTGTTCCCTGGAGTAGGTAGGTCCCCCTACAGAAGGAAGTGGAGGGAAAGGCTGGCCCCACAAGCCCAGTTCTCTAAATTTAACAGTCAGATAAATCATTCCTACCTTAGAAAGACATAACTGTAGAGATGGAGCAAGAGGCCTCCAGTATTACTTTAGAAGGCCCTGCACAGGAAAACGTGTAACTAGGGGAGATAGGGTTCCCACTCAGATTAAACGTGACAGATGTGCAAACTAGTTTTTCTTCGACTCGTCCTTGCAACATACCAAACTATTAATTATATTTCACCTAGCCTCCAAAACTTTTGTTCAACCTTTTAGCATCTTAAATATTTTTATTGGAGATGTCTTACTATGATAAAAATAACCTATATAACCCAAAATGTAAAAGTAGCCATTATGAATAAACTCTAAAAAAATGAATTAATAAAAATTTTACAACCTTCTACATTTAGAGGTCACCCCTTGCCACATTAGGAAAAAATGAGGACACATTTCAGGAAATGTCGCTCAAATTAGAATTTTAATGATTGTTGAGTGTGGCAGCCTATTTCCTTTTTTCGTTTTCCTGTTCTGCTTCACCATCATCCCATTTCTTCAGCTTCCTTCCTCTTCATCCCTCTCCTTTCCACTTCTTCTCTCTTAATTTTTTGGTAACAACTTATTGAGGCATATTTTGCCTACCATATCATTAATCAATTAAAGTGTAAAATTCAGTGGTTTTAAGTATATTCAGAGCATTGTGCTCACTTCCTTTCTTTGCTTGGTTTTCTATATGAGGTCAATAACAGTGACCACTTTCTTGCATACACCATAATTCCCTTATGCTTCGCTCACTATGTCATACTCCTTTGGTTGAATCACAGCCTAAGTTAAATCCAATTCTCCACCTATTCATTGTCTATTCATGTGTAACTGAATGTGGCTGCAGAAAAATTTACAACCATTTTGTTGGCCTCACTTTAAATTCACAATCACTAATTTCTAATGGGCTCTTCACGCTGACTAGCAAGGATAATCTATACTTCTCTAGAATTTTTTGATAAGCACCAAGATAATTGTTGTATATATTTCTCTCTCCTCAAGTTTCCAATATCTCTTTCCATCTCCACTCTTGGTTGATAATCTTTCTATTTCATTGAACAAAATGAAGCAGTTAGACATCTTCAGTGTATTCCCACCACTCTGCATCCAATTATCAGCATTTATGACAATGTACCCTCACTTATTTCCTTTTCCAGTGATTAAACTCTTTGTGTTTAACCCCAACTCACGCACCGCATCCTGTCCTGTCTACCTTACTTAAAAACACTTCTCTAGCAATTTCTTTCGCTATCTTATATATTGTAAAATTCTACCACCACCCCCATTATTACCATCAGCATACAAATAAGCTATACCTCTCATTATTTATAAAAGCATAAGCAGAAACAAAACACAATGATTTTTTAAATGATAAAAGTAATGTGTGAATATATTCCTATTGCAAAATATTGGAACAAAGTAAAAGATACTGCCTATATTTACCACAATCCTATTAGTTCCTGTCCCCCGACCCCAGAGGTCCCTTAATGCCAGTTTTCCTCTGGATAATACTCCTTTGCTTTGCTTTCATTTGTAGAATTCCTTGAAAAAGTTTTCTGTACTAGCAATCTTCAATTCTCCTTCCATTTTCTCTTGAGCTCACTCCCATGGGGACTTCATCTCTATTCTTCCTCAAAATAGCTCTTGTCAGAGTTTCTAATAATCTTCATGTTAATTCCTGTGGTGAATTCCCAGTTCTCACCTTATTTGACCTATTATTTGTATTTGAGCTATTAGTAGTATTTGACATAGTCAATCAGTTCCACCTTCATAGGATTTTTATACTCATCTGCCTCCTACAATTGTGGATTTGTCAAGTCTTTTTTGAATTTTTACCAGTTTTTGCTTCATGTATTTTGAAGTTTTGTTTGCGTAATTCAGATATTATTTGTGTACAGGTAGTCAATAGCTAGATATGGATCAACGAATCATTTTTGTATTAGTTGCATGATGTTTTAAAATGGTTGTACTGCCCACTATTCTCACTCATTTATATCCTTCCTGCATTATTTTTATTATTATTTACTTGGTCTAAAAATATTTCATATTATAAAACCTCTTATTGTGTATTTGAGTTGGAGAATCTTTCTTTTTAATTTATTTTTTTTATGGTGACATTGGTTAATGAAATCCAGTTAGTTTCCAGTGTACGATTTAACAGAAAAGCATATATATATATTGTATTGTGTATTCACCTCCCATAGTTAGATTTCTTTCTGTCTCCACATATTTAACCCCTTTTACCCCATCTACCTCCTCTCTTCCCCCTCTCCTCTATCCACTAGTCTATTGTGAGTTGGTGAATCTTGACATAACCATGTAAAATTCTTGTATTCACTAGAACATTTATAACATGATTTAAAAATAACTTCACTTTATTTTGATTTCTTGTTTTTTTCTTTTTCATTGTATTTTATTTAATTTTTAAAAAATGTGTTCATACCTGATTGATTTTGTTAGGATTTATTAGGTACTTCTCTTTTCCTGCCTCATTTACCTATTCTTCAACTTTGGATGTATTTTTGTTTAATTGAATATGAATTTTCTTTTCAACAAGATATTTGCTACTTTGAAAGGTGGAGATTTATATCTTTCGAATTTATTGCAATCATTGTTAGATTTGGAAGAAACCCCATTGATTTACTTTTTTACGAATGTTATTTCTGAATGATTTTTCTTTCCTGATTTTTTCTGAATTTTAAACTTTTATCATTCTATTTGTTTTATTATATTGAGAAGAAAACATATATCATATCATATTCTTTTAATGTCTATTTTATAAGTTAACTTATATTTATTTTTCTATCAATATCTCCATATAATTTTTCCATCAATATCTCCATATAATTTTTCCAATGAACAACAAAAAAATGAGCATGTTTCCATTTCTCTTCCTTTCTCATCCTTCTCCCCTTCAAACAGCATATTCTGAATGTCAATTATGAGTATTTTTATTTCATTTAATATTTATTTAGGTAGCATACATTTTAATGATTTGTTGATGCATTGATTTTTAAAATGGGAAGAGAAGAGAGATGCTCATTTCCCAGCTTTCTAAAGGCATTTTATCAATTAATTTTCCTAGGGCTCTGAAGGATTCCTCTGATTATGATGTTGGAGCCTGAAGCCTTTCCACATACTCTTAACTCCATGGTAGTACTCCCTGGCACTATGTCTGGAGGAGAGTTCTCTAAGTCTTGCGTATATGTCAATTCAGTCCTGTCTGTTTTCTCTCTTTAAGAATTGTTCAACATGGTTTCTTACACTTTTGGCACTATTTCTTGCTGTCCAGCATTATTATGAATTTATACATTAAAAAATATTTTTCTGTCATGTCAAATGAATTTATGCAAGTGAAAAAGATTTATATGCTCAGTTTTCTGTCATGATCCAATCCTTTTCACTGACCATTCATTTTAAATATGCTTCATGTAATAGTTTTTGCTTCTTTTTGAAACTTAACATTATTTTATTGGATTTAGGTTCTGACTTTTGTGGCATAATATTACTAATAATAACTCTCTGTTTTTTGCCTTTTGCACATTAAATTCAGATTCGAATTCTGTACTTTCTTTTTATAACAGCCATTCCTCTTGTTTTCACTGTTTTATCATTCTCTCTCTTTCAATTTTATTTTGTTAATTCTTATCTCCTGCCAGTGAATTGTCTGTTAGCAAATTATCTTCATAATGTTAAATTACTATTTTAATTTTATGTTTATTACATTACTGTTTTAATGTGAATAAGTCGATCTTTTTTTTTAAATTTGATATTATGAAAACATTTTTAATATTGACCCTTTTCCTGTTTAGAAAAAAAAAAAAGCGCAGCTCCCTGCCAGAGGTAATTTAATATCATTTAATAGACATGCTATGTTTTCTAGGATTTGACATTTTCAGCAATCGAGAATTACTATATTTTGTAAGTGGAAACGTCACTACTAAAAACAGAATACTATAAATAGAATGATGTCATTTGTTTCCAAAGACTATTGATATACTAGAGCAATGTGAAAATAATAATAAAAGCAAGATATTTCATGGCAAATTTTGGGGGTAAAGTTAGGACTGTAATCCGCAAATTATCTTGGTATAAATGCTGCTGCCACAAGCGCCACTGGTGAGTATTCTTGGGGCAAATGGGAAACGGGTTAATTTTCTTATTATTTAATATTCTCAATGCACATATTTTAGGTGGAGAAGTAACTTAACTTCAGCTTTTCCTGTCAGAACCCTCTTTGAATTGCACGGCTCTTTCAGGGAGAAGCGATGTTTTAGGGCTCATTTTCATGATTTTGTAACATATGTTATAAAATTCCACTCTTGTTTGCAAGAAGTTTGAAATAAACCTTGATTCAAACAGTGTTATGACTTTTGTCAAGTGCACTTAATATCCCTTTAGACCTACTCCTGTCCCTAAATCTGACATGTGTTGTAATCTGTCACTTCCATTCAAAACTAACACACTAGGATAACTACATAATGTAATTAAAATTTTCCCTCAAAGTTCTCACACAAAGTTTTCAAAGTGAGATCAGAGAAGGAAACAAAGAAGATGGAATCTTGCTAATAAAAATGTAGGTGAAATAGTT